AACTCCCCACGCATTCACTCAACATTTCCCAAAATTCTCCCCTCTCTCCTCTACACTTCTCTCTTCTCCAGGTGCATACACGCTTATTATAACCCACTTTTCACATCCAATCTTTATTTTACTCCACATAATCCTTGAATTAATACATTTATAGTCCCTTTTTTCCTGCCATAGCTTATCCTTCAACATTATTGCTACTCCTTCTTTAGCTCTAACTCTATTTGAAACCCCTGACCTTTAAACCCATTTATTCCTCTCCACTGAAACTCTCCCACCCCCTTCAGCTTTGTTTCACTTAAAGCCAGGACATCCAGTTTCTTCTCATTCATAACATTCACAATCATCTCTTTCTTATCATCTGCACAACATCCACGCACATTCAGACTTCCCACTTTGACAATTTTCTTCTTCTTATTCTTTTTAGTAATCTTTACAGGAAAAGGGGTTACTAGCCCATTGTTCCCGGCATTTTAGTTGACTTTTACAACACGCATGGCTTACGGAGGAAAGATTCTTATTCCACTTCCCCATGCCTTTTATCATCAATTTTTACCTGTAACACAGGTAAGGCTACTTCAGCAAAACCATCATTATTAACATTAGCAGCAATTTTTACATTAGCCACTGTTGTGTCAGGATTGTCAACATTATCATTATTATCAACATTATCATATAGACCTTTACACATGACTATATGGTGTTGTACCTTTGTGACATTGATAACAGAGGTTTAATTTGGCATAACAATCCTTTACATTGTGATTACCCAAACACCTGATACATCTGTCAAGTTCCTCCTTTCTTTCAACTTTATCATTCCATGAATTGTATGCATTGCAATTCTTAGAAAAATGAGTACCCTTGCAGAAAAGACAATCTCTCTTTTCTCTGACTGGTTTCTTATTAACTGGGCTACTCTTAGAAGGGTACTTATTCTTCTTACCTTGTGGAGAATCATTATTTCTGATTCTTGCTACTTGATATGATATGTTACATAGACAAGTAGGAATTTGGGACACCTAGGTCGCAAAAAATGTCCCCCTTCGATATCTACCACTGTCATAACCACAAGTTGCTCTGGACCTATTAATTAAATGAAATATACATCACCAGGAATACTGGTAAATATATAAATTTGTGGACTGTATATTAAAAATAATAAATGGTTATATATATACACAATTACATAACAGAAGGAAAATATATCTTAATATCACTCACCAATTTGACTGGATATTAATTTGTATCATACTCAGAAAAACCTCACTAACTAAATTTATGAAAACACTGGCCAGAATTATACACAAATCTAGAGAGCTTATCTGAGGTTCCTGGAGCCGTCTTGTCCAGTCGTCTGATATCTCAAGTTATGCAGGAATGCATGTCCAACAATTTCGCCTCCTATTTGAGAGGTGTCAGCCCAATTTTAACCTCTAGAGCACGAAAATTCCTTCCCATTACACTAACGTTGTACCCAATTCAAAACCAAGATGGCGAGTCCCCTTCTGCGCAGGCACAGCTTCCCGTTTTCTATGACAAATATTATTAAATACAGTATGGCCATCTATTTACATATAAATACTGAATTTCTGGAAAATATATTTCAGTATTTTTCCACAATTTTATATTATATATATTTATTTATATATATATATATATATATATTATATATATATATATATTTATATATATATATATTATATATATATATAATAGAAACGTGTTTTGAAAAATGCTATAAAATTATATTAACCATAGTTTTTAAAGGGGTGGAGGGGTAAGCCAGTGGAAGGCCTCGGTCAGATGACCAAAAGCTCCAACTGTGGGTCATCATATGACTAAGACCCACCTCAGGAAACACTAGTCCTCTTTCTTGACAAACCTGACCTAAAAAAGCCAGTGATTTATTTCCATTGGGGTCCTTGTAATATCTTAGCTTTTTTAACTTATAAGGTTTAAATGACTCTCCTGTGTGAAAAATCACTTACAATATAAAAAGATATACTATGAATAAGGTAAACCGAGTTATTTATATGGGTTTATATACTGTAGGCAGATGAGGTGAAGCAGCAGGAGGTGGGGGTCACTAGTGGAAAGTCCACTAGTATAAGTAGGTCATGCTTATAGGTTAGGCAAAAGTTGAATTCCCTGCTTCAAGATCTCAAGATAAGATTTCGTTCGGATTATTAACCCCGGAGGGTTAGCCGCCCTGGATAACCCAAGAAAGTCAGTGCGTCATCTGGGACTGTCTGATTATAGTAGTATGTCATTGTTGTCAGTTATGGTCTGTATACCTTGTACATGTACGTACTTGTATAAATAAAGATATTATTATGACCCACAGCTGGAGCTTTTGGTCATCTGACAGAGGCCTTCCACTGGTCCTAGAACCTAGCTAAATTTTTTCTTAAGTTTATTCAGGTATACACAAATACAGTTACATAGATTATCATACATAGCAACATACGTGTATTATTATTATAATCAAGGGGGAGCGCTAAACCCGGGGGGAAATTATACAGCGCCTGGGGGGGGGGAGGTTTGTGAAGGCATTCAGGCTTAATTCGGGGAACTGGAGCACAGATCCAATTCCCTAAAAAGAGCCCCTCACCAACATCAAGGAACCTTCCTTGAGGGGAACAATGTGTGGGAAAACCAGAATAGCCCCCCAAAAAAAAAGTCAGTGACTTATTCCCAGTGGTGTCGTTGTTCACACTGCACAACCCACTTAATATTGAAGAATACACTAATATATCACCAGTCTAAACACAAAAAATTTTATCCAAAGGAAAAAAATAAATCAAAATATATGTTTGTGTTTATTACAGAAAATTTTTTACTACACTTAGAGAAATATTTAAAGCTTATATAGGTGATCAGATTTTAAAATAGAGGACTCTTGATCCAAGGAACTGGATTTGTCTTCCCTTTCTTTGGATCGAACCTAGATTCCTCCCATTTCCATGCGCTATGGGACCCATATGGGTTTAGCGCTGCTCTCTGATTAAAATATAAAAAGAATTCAATAGGGGAGACTTACATAGTTTTAAATATATTCTTTTGGAGAAAATATATTACAATTTTATTTACAGGTCACTTACATTTACTATATTAAATTTATATATACTTTATAAAATTTACATTGCTTTATAAATACTGCTAGTGTTATATTTATTTAACTTAGGTATTCCTAAATTTTAGGGATTTATATATGACTGATGATGTGTCAGTAAAATGCAGCTTAATGACCCTTGTGAAATATATTTAAGATATGCAACTGAGAGAGGCATGTGTTAGGATACGGAAAACTGTTTCCTTTGAGAGACTTCAGTGTTACATCTCAGTTAATTGTTTTTTACGGGGTGAACCAGTACGTAGAAGAGGTTGGGGTCAAGTTTGTCAGGAAACCTCCCTCTTACATCCCCAAATCGACACCTGCAGTACTTCGGTACCACTTGGCCGAAGTAGTTGGGCCACTTACCTTACCCTCCTCTCCTTAAACCCTCAGGAAGGTTCCTTGATGTTGTTGAGGTGCTCTTGATTTAGGGAATTGGATCTGTGCTCCATTTCCCCCGAATTAAGCCTGAATGCCTTCCACACCCCCCCCCCAGGCGCTTTTATGATCCCCCGGGTTTAGCGCTTCCCCCCTTGATTTAATAATAATCCTTCACCCTCCCACCCTTTTTCCCAGTATTTCCATCCTTCTTCCTCTCCATCTTACCCCCAGCTCTGGTCATATTTGAGTAGAGTTGTCAGGAAACAGGACAAGTGTTCTCCTGATGACCCACAGCTGGAGCCTTTAGTCATCTGCAGAGGCTTTCCACTGGCTTACCCTCTACCCAGGTATTTTAGCAATAATTCGTCTATGTGTGAGCCATACAAGTCTATGCATACATGCATGAACATTTCTGTGTATTCCTTTTCCCTTTAATAATTTATTTTTTAATAGTCTGCTTTTAGTCAAGAATCTTATAACATATGCATGTTACTCTGCAAGTCTCATCCCCAATTTTTTTAATGTTCAGCCCGTTGAAGCCAACTCTTGCTCTCGTTTACAGGCGTCTGGGGATTACTTCTCCCTCTCCAAACTTTTGTATATTGTACCATATATATAGGTTGGGGTTAAAAATCTATCGACTATAATAGGGTGATTAAGGGTGCACCCAACTCTTTTTACCCCTTAACTTAGGTACTTCAGTACCTAAGTTAAGGATTAAAATCCCAAATCCAGCTTATATTTCGTTGGGAAAAAATGTAACTTTGTATATATCTTGCGTTCCATATGTTTAAGTAGAGCATCAATTTGCATAGTTATATATTTTTAGGAAGAACAGTTATATTGTATATAAATTATATAAATCATATAAATTTTTATATAAGGCATTGTAATAAGATAAAATGATCATGGTTGATCAGGCATTTCACAGGTCACTATCTGCACTGCTTCAGTTCGAGTCACGGATTAGGTTTAAAACAGTACAAAATTTACACGTTAGAGAACTGGCTGGTCTCAAATTTCCCTGGGTCTAACATTCACTCTCCCCCTTGATAGGAGAACTAAGGAGTATCGTACTGGAGGTTGTGGAATTGTTCTTTTCTCCTTATCCTCCCGTCTCTGAAGTTGTTGTTGCTGCTGCTGTTGTCTCTGCAGCTGCTGCTGTCTCTGCTGTTGTATTAATAACTGCTGCTGTAGTTGTAGTTTTCTTTTTTAGAAAGAGAGGGAGAATACGTGTATATTATTGTAAAGAATAAAGTACACTCTTTATGGAGAATTAATAATAATATTAGTACCCAAAGATTAATTTATAAAATGTGTAACACCTGGCAGTAAGTGCAGTTGTGTAGTCCTTGTGGCTTAGCGCTTCTTTTTGATTATAATAAAAATGGCACTAAGTGCCGAAAGGATTCATTCACCTTAGCGTTTTTCAAAAGCTTGGTTTTCTGTAGTGTGAAGCTAGAAATTCCAGCGAGGCGAGGTAGGCAGCAGTGGAGGGTCCATGTCATCCCTTATGATCGAGCTCTCTTTTGTTTGGGGGCGGAGGCGGGAATCTCTTTGCTGTCTGGCGCGTGGGCCGGGAGCCAAGGACGGGCGTGGGAGGGACAGGCTGTGGGGGCGGATAGCAGGTCGTGGGCGGGTCAGAAGAGTCGTGCGTCCGTCCCACGGTTGTCATCTTGAAGGGACTGGTGTTTATTTTCCGTATGACGTCAAAAAACTCTTTTGGGATCGTGGAAGACCTTTCCCCTCCGTCAGGGTGTCTCGTGGACCGCACCAGCACGGGGTTGATAGCTTCAGTCAATAGCATGACATTCTCAGTGAGAGCAGCTAGACCAAATACGTCTTCATAAGTCGGAAGCTGAGAAGCCCTTCTGTGGACTGGTACTAAAAGGCCGCCCTGGCTACCCATGAGTACCGCTGCGTCCGACATGTGGCGCAAACGTAGTGGTTTGGGTGGACGCGGAGGTGGCACTGGGTCCAAGCCGTGCCAGTGGGGCACCCGCGGTGGCAGTGTCTCGCTCTTGTTGACTTCTATGACTGTGACGTTTGCTTCTGTTCTTCTTTCGTCCTCGTCGCTAGCAACAACTGAGGATGAGGCTGGCGACGGAGGACCTGAGTGAGCAGGGGTCTGGTCTTTACTACCCACCTCAGGAGAGGAATAACCTGATGAAGAAGAGGAAGATTCTAGTGGAGAGTTCTCATGAGAGTCGGTCCGTCGTTCTGGCTTAGTCCAGCGCTCTGGTGTTGAGGACCATACAGAGGTCTTCGTGGCGGTGCTTGTAGTGTTCTCCTTGAAGCGGGGCACTACACTAAGATTAGTCTGTGCACAAGAAGCTCTGCGGCGTATGGGGCGGTAGGCTTCCGTCTGACAGCCGGCTGTTCTGAAGGAGGGAACACGAAGAACAATCTTGTTGCGTTGAAGTTCGCCTCTCGGCAGCTGGTCCAGAAGTGCCTTAGAGTCTTCCAGAGCCTCCCGATGAGCAACTTCATATTTGCTTGGCTTGCTTGGGCCTTTTTTTAAAATACTCTTTGGCATCTTTGTGTCGAAGGCTTTCAAACTCTCCATTATATTTTCATCAGACTTGGTGGCTCGAATGGGTGCAGAAGTTCCATGGTCGAGAATATTTGTGAGTACTTCTTCCAACCTTCTCAGGTTAGCAGCTTTATCTCCTCCAGATCGTTTTCTTTCAGGCTTCTTCACAGGGCTAGGACGTGCAAGAGATATGTTTCTATCACCTAAACGAAGAGGTTTTTCTGCCAAGGATGGCCTCGGTGGTTTGATAACTTCATGTCGTGTTGATTTCAGGTGTTCTAGTAGGCGAGTTCTCGACATCTCTCTTGAAGACTCGTCATCAGACTGCGATGGTATGATGTTGCGTGGCTGAGGGGCTGGGCGTTTCCGTGTGTTTTTAATGTTCTCCTCAATAACAGGGAGAGGTAAGGGACGCTCCAGAGTAGACACTCGCTTGGTATTGCTTACCACCACTCGGGGCTCTCTTACACTTATTTCCGGAGGCCGTGGAAGCTCTCGTGGTTCATCTTTTTCGATTACTGTTGTGTTTTCTGTTATTCGTTCTTCCCCTTTCGACTTCACAGTGAATGTAAAGGCAGTATCGCTTGCATCCTTTCCGTTATTTTGCTCTTTCTTGGGAACACTTTGGTCAATAACAGGAGATGGAATAGTTGGCTTGGGCCTTATCGGTGGAGGTGGAGCCGGGCCCTTAGGTTTTGTGATACGAGTTAGCGGACGATTAACTGGCCCAAAGGAGGTGAGAACCATCTTTCCATCGAGAAGTCTTTCTTGTACACTAGTAGAGCGATGGACCTGTGCTGTTGTCCCTCCAGCAATGGTGGATTCCTGGGCGATGGAGATGAGGCTTTGTTCTGACCGACTTCGCTCAAGTGACGTGACACCAACTTCAATTACTGGACTAGAGTCTAGATCATCAAGCGAGCAGGCGTGGAACTTATGACTGAGGGTCCCCCCACCTCTGCTGTCCTCCAGTAGTAATCTTCCACTGACGGAGTTCGAGCGATGTATTCGACGGGCATTGGACCTCGTATCGAGGGTCGAGAAACGAGATGCTTGTGGCTCTGGGCACATGACAGGTCGTGGAGGACGGAGAGTTTGGCTCTCGCTGATCTGCAGGTCTCGCCGTACGACAAGACTCTGCGCCCTTTGAGGTCGCTGGGAACACGGGCATACCCCGTGGAGGCGAAAGAACGTGTCGGGGGGCGCCGCCCTGAACCATTGGGGAAAACGACAAAAGGTCCAACCCCCTCGGGGAAAT